TGGTCCAGGAAAGACTGGTAGCTTGGGCCAGGCAATTGCAGTGGTGCTGCAGCTCTCCATGCCCTCCCCAGCCTCATGCTTCCAAGGAAACTGCTCTGACTCCTGTCACCATGGCAGCTGTGCTTCTTGTACCTGGATTGGTTGCTGGGGTGACATCATCAGCACTGAGCGACTGATCCCCACAATGAGAACTGGTTGCCATGGTGCTGTTAAGTATGCAAACAAGAATCTGCCATTCTTCTCCAGGCTGAGGGTCCTTGACTAGCTCTGTACCTACAGGGAAACCAGGGAGGGAGAGAGGATCACAACACAGAGCCAAGGGGAGGCTTGTTGGAGGTGATTGCTGAGCCATTGTGCCTCACGATTTGCCCAAATCCAGACTGCTATTGGAGGCCATTATGTGCTGGGGTTGGGTAGAGGGGAGAGCTTACATTGTGGAGGAGGAGTCCTCAGCAGATATACACACAAATTCCAAACCTATTTTAGAGTTTCTTTGAGCTGTTTCCTTCTCTGAGCAAAACTTTGTAGCAAATTGAGGCTTCCCTGTCCCTCTACTCCCTATTACCCTGCAGGGAGGCAGTTCTAGGACAACCAGCTACTGGATTTTTAAAGTGGACTTTCATGGAAACTCTTTTGTCTGGAGGCAAGACAGTGGGCCCCAGCCAAAGCCTCTGAAGTAAAATATGTAAGACTAGAACAGAGGGGACACTTGGGGTGGAGACACGGAACAGCACAGCAACTTGGTACCCTTTCTCCTTCCAGATATCATTTATAATATGAATACAATGCAGGGTCGGACCTTAGCTGAATTGCAATCTTTCTCCACCCACTACCCGCCTACCTCGCCATACTTTATGGTTGTCTTTTTTTTTTTTTTTTTAAGATATAGGGTCTTGCCTTATTGCCCAGGCTGGAATGCAGTGGTACCATTACAGCTCACAACAACCTCAAACTCCTGGCCTCAAGCAATCCTTCCACCTCAGCCGCCCGAGTAGCTGGGACTACAGGTGAGTGCCACCACTCCCCGCTAATTTTTAAAAATTTTTTGTAGAGACAGGGTCTTGGTGTGTTGCCCAGGCTGGTCTCCAACTCCTGGCCTCTAGTGGTACTCCTCCTTTAGCCTCCCAAATTGTTGGTATTGGAATCACAGGTGTGAGCCACCGTGCCGGCCAGTAGTCTTTTTTCTTCCCTTGGGGAAGAAAGTTTCTCCCTATGAGACCCAGGTTCACTAGGCCTGAGAACATGTTTAGTGTTCCGAGGATATTATCTCAGCACTAGAATCCCCTCCAATGAATAGCAAAAAAGGTGCAATATCAATGTTTATGCTTATTGTTTTGTTAGCTATTCTCCTGGTAGTTTGAAATCTTAAAATGGAGAGAGGAACACCACCTTTGTTCAGCCCACCGAAAGACCAATATTTCCCTTTCTCCTGGAATATTACACATCTCAAAAGAGGCTCACACTCATTTGCTCTTGGGCTTCAAATTATTTCTGTAAATCATTTAAAAATAATATGTGCAGCACACAATCAGTGATAACCAGATAAATCCCCAGTTTCCCACCCCAGTTGGAAGCAAAGAAGCGGAAGGGACCCTATGAAGTGCCTCTGACAATGTGCACCTCATTGAAATTATCAGAAGTAAAAACCCTGGGTCCATCATACCAAAGTCAAGAGGTGTGCCATGGAAGAAGGGAGGACCCAAGCCCCCCGTAGAAGGGCCAGCCTTTAGGCAATCTAAAGTATCTGTTTAAGGAAAAGGGAAAAATGAAAATTTGGTTATTTTTTGCTGAGCTTTCATTGGTTATTTGTTCTGTCTCTAGGCTGGAGAGACAACTCCTTAGTGAGGATCTCTCTGTGCTATCGCCTCTTCTGTTGCTCTGTCTTGCTGCTAGGTTTGTTATCCTAAACCTTGATCTGTGCAAGCATTTCTGTATATGATTTCTGAATTTGCAGAAGCCAGTCCCTCGGATCACCTACAGGGCACAATTAATAACTGCACTCAGAGGTTCCATGTTTCTTTTCTAACCCAGCCCTGTATCAGATATTGTGTGCAAGGTGACAGTCCATTTCGCCTTGTCAATCCTCACTGTTACAGTTGTTGCTTATGACTTTTTTTGTCTGGTAATCTGTTGTTGTAAATATACTACCAAAGCTTTGCAATGCCATACATAAGTATAAACCTTTCATCTAAAACATCGTGGTGGCTCACCCCTATAATCCTAGTACTCTGAGAGGCTGAGGCAGGAGGATTGCTTGAGCTCAGAAGTTCCAGACCAGCCTGAGCAAGAGCGAGACCCTGTCTCTACTAAAAGTAGAAAAATTAGCTGGGAATGGTGGTGGGCACCTATACTCCCAGCTCCTTGGGAGGCTGAGGCAAAAGGATCGTTTGAGCCCAGGAGTTTGAGGTTGCAGTGAGCCACAATGATAGCACTGCACTCTATCCAGGGTGACAGAGCAAGACACTTTCTCAAAAATAAATAAATAAATAAAACATCACCCCAATTCAGCAGGAAGTAGTTTGATGACTATGTTGCCCCTCCTCCCATAGATATGGAGGGGTAAAATTGACGGGGGGGAATATGTTACAGAGGAAACGGCCTGAAAAAAAGTGGCAAAAATGTTTTATGTCTCTTTAAAATAATTCCCCACTCTTTTTGGAGAACTAGGACCTGCATCTCTGCCTCAGGCCAGCAGTCAGAGGGGCAGGGGAATGTCTTTTGTTCTTTGTGCTACTGGAGATGGCTTAGTGGAACTGTGGAGCCCGCCGGGACCTGGATGGAGGTCCTGGACATGGTGGAGATAGGCTGGAGATAGGACCATCAGAATCATCAACTGCAGTTGAACAGAAATTACCTGAAACTGAATAGGCTCCCTTTAAAAGCTCTGTATTTCTGTTGTTATGAGGATGATGGTGTTTCAGACAGGAGTCTCCATCCTCCTTATTTTCTGGCAAATTAATAAATCTCTCTTTCCTTCTCCTCAAATAAATAAACTGGGCAAACAACAGAGAAAAAGCAATGAAACCAAAAGTCAGTTATTTTTAAAAATCAAGCTATACTGATGAAACACAAATTACCACAATCAAGAAAGAAAAAAGTGAAATCGCTCCAAATTCTTCAGCTATTAAAAGGGCAATAAAGAAATATTATGAACATCTTTGTGATAACTAATGTGATTACTTAAACATTATGAACAAATTTCTTGAAAACTTCAAGTTTCCAAAACATACATGAAAAGAAATAAAGTATCTGAATAGCTATAGAAACTGAAATTGTAATAAAACTCTCAAAGAAACTCCAGGCCCAATTGCTTAAAAAAGAAATAATATCAATTTTACACAAACTTTCAGAGCATGAAAGAAGAGGAAATGCTTTCTGACTAATTTTATGAGGCCAGCATAGCCAACTTTGGGAAGAAAATGGAAGAAGATCTTTGTAAGTTTGGGTGGGCAAACACTTTTAAGAACATGAAAAACATTAGTCATAAAAAGATAAATAAATGGGACTTCATCAAAATTAAAATACTTTACTCTTCAAAAGCCACTGTTAAGAAGACTGAAATAAAATGCCCAGAGTCAGAGAAAATATTCACAAACCATTTATCTGATAAAGGAGTTACATCCAGAAGTATTAGAGAATTATGTCAATTAGGAAATCACTGTAAAATTCAGATGTTGTATTAGTTTTCAATTGCCTCTGTAACAAATTGCCTTAGATTTAGTGGCTTGCAACAACACAAATTTATCTTACAGTTCTGGAAGTCAGAAGTCTAAAATCAAGGTGTCAGCAGGGCTGTGTTCCTTCTGGAGGCCAGAGAATGTCTGCATTCCTTGGCTTGTGGCCCCTTCCTTGGGTCACTTCAACCTCTTGCCTCCAATGTCACATCTCACACTACTGACTATGATGCTCCTGCTTACCTTTTGTAAGGACCCTTGTGATTATATTGGGCCCAACTGGGTAATTCAGGATAATCTCCCCATCTAAAGTTAGTCACCTTCTAAGGCTAATCCACCTGCAAATTCCTTTTACCATGTAAAGAAACATATTCATAAATTCTGGGGATTAGGAAATAGACATCTTTTGGGGGGCATTATTCAGACTATCACAGATGTCATAATGGCGTCGCGGTTGTGTACGAAACTATCATTAATTCTAAGAGATGCATATTGAATTATTTAGGAGTGAAGTTTCATGATGTCTGTAAATTCCTTTTAAATACTTCAGTAAGAAAAAGAAGCAATTGTGACAAAATCTTAATAATTAATCTGGGTAATATTAATAGGTATAAGTAAGTGTTCATCAGATTCTCTTTTTAATATTTGAAATTTTTCTTAATGTTTTAAGTTTAATGAAAAATATTGAAATATTGGTCTAGGATTTAGAAAGCTCACGAACTAGCTTATAAGTACACAAGAGTGGAAGCAACAGATCATTTAATTAGTCAAATAGTTATTACAATAGCTTGACTTTTTAAAAAGAGTATCGCACTTTGGGCCAGGGAGATGGCAGTGGACGTGGAGAAAGGTTGATGGATGTGCAATATATTTTGCAGGTTGAATCCATATGATTGCTGAAGGTTTTTAGGTGGGTGAGCGTCAAGGATAATAAAAATAAATTAATTTCATTAAGTGCCTACTTTTCCGTTGCTATTCATACTTAATTCTCACAAGACAATTTGCACCGGTATCTTACATGCAATCCATTTCTCCAACTTTAGGACTGGGAGTGGAGGCGGTGGTCCTTGCGACCCGACTTATGGCAAAAAGGAGCAGGGCCAGGAATTCCAAGAGGCACAAAGTCAGGGAGGCGGGAAGGGGACCGGGGAGTTGGGTAGGCGTCCTCAGGACCAGGCCCCTCGCGGTTGATGGAGCTGCCGAGCAGGGCTATGCAGATTCTGCCCGGCTAGCGGGTGGGGAGCGACAGCCCGGCTCCGCCCCTCCGGCCCCGGTCGCTGCCTTCGCTGAGACTTGGGCCAGCAGCGAGCGCGCCCAGCCGGGAGGATGCAGCGTCCGCTGCGGTCTGGGGGATCCGGGGGGGCTCCAGCTGCTTGTCTGGTTCCTGCTTCTGAACAGTCGCCCAGGGGGCTGCAGCGACATTAGTCCCCACGGTCAGAAGGAGACCTGGGGATGCGGGCAGGACCACAGAGCGATCCTGAGGGAAGTGGGTCAGGGGGTTTCAAGGCTAGGAAACTCAGGAGGAAAGAAACGTGTTTGGGGGCGTGAGGAGACAAATGAAAAGAGCGTCTCGCAGACAGAAGCGAAGGCTTGGGATGGGTCTGGGCATATGGGGTCTGGACCTGAGAGAAGCGGCCTCGGGGGAAGATTGGAGATTTGGGAGGAGGTCGAGACGACATAGGCAGAGGGAGGTAAAACCGGCCTATGCGGCCACAGGAGAAGCAAGACGCGCCCGAGGGGCAGAAAAGAGATGAGGACCAGGGCTGAGTGGTCTGCAGGGGACCAGAGGCCCTACTCCGCGGGTGTCAGGGTCCTGGCTCCAGGCAGAAGGCTGAGCAGAGACGAGCCAGGACCTTGTGATAAGCCCACAGAGCCTCGTGGCTGTAATCAGATTTCCAATAAGAAGGGGAAGGCTAGGCCGGGGTAAAACAGGATGGAGGGGGAATGGAGCCACTGTTCTTCCTCCGCTCCCCTCTGCGCCAACCGGGGAGATCCAGCGCTGACTGACGTCGGAACGGTCAGAGACGGACTGCGCAGACTCGAGAGCTCCTGCGCAGAGCGCGTGGGAAAGACAGCGCAAACTCCTAGGCTGACGCCCACGCTCCCCGCCCGACTCTTGGGTTTAGAGGCCAAGAATTGTGGGAGGCCTGTTTGCGACAAGAGGAGGTGGGGGGAGGGTGGGAAGGATCTTCAAGCTTCGTGGACATGCGTCTCCCACATTACCGCCCAGCGCCGCCCCCACGCCAGCTTTCAGCCACCTCTCAGAACCACGGACAGCGCCGAGCGCGCTGCGGTCCAGGCCGCGCGTGTCCAGGTCACCGCTCTTCCCCACCAGTCCAGGAAGCGCTGTCTCAGAGAACCAGCTCCCTCCCCAAAGCTCTGTTTCTTCTCTGCAGGATGCTGGAGGTTCCAATACTTCTAAAGGCCAGGAAATTGTTAATAGGCATCTGTTTGCTTGGGTAGGAGAATTCCCTTTTCTTAAGACCTGTCCAGAGTGACTATGGTAATTCCACTGTGGAAAAAAAGAGACTGTCCTCCAACCCTATCCCATTGATCTGGAAGAAGGAAGGTGTGTGTATCATTAGGGGTTATCTTCCCCTGTGCACAGTTGGGCCAACTGTGGCTTTAGGAAAAGAATTGAGATCCTCGAACGCTATATATGCCAATACTTTCTCTTTCTAAGGATTCCAGGCCTCCTCCCTAACCGCTCCAGGTTTCAAAGCCTTCCCTAAGATGCAGCTCACCTGGTTCCACAAACCCCACCATACACCTGATTATCCTCTGCTCACCTAAACCTCCCCAGGTGGCTCTTTGCCTGCAAGCTTGATTCTTATCTGGAAATCAGTACATGAGTGAATGAGGTTTAGGGGCTGAAAACATGGCAGGCGGTGATGGAGGAAGGGAAAGATGAAAGAAGGAGAACTTGAAGCGGGCAAAGGGGCCTGGTGCAGGGAACAGAGACTAGGAAATCCAGGAGTGACTGTACAAGGAAGCTGATTTGTCAACTGGGATTTGGAAGGCTTCTGGCCAAGCCCTGTGCTCACACTATTATTTGCCTTTAGATGGTCAGGGCCAAGTGGGAGTGGGGCAGCTCTGGCCCCTCCAAGGATTTACCACCTCGGTCTTCCAGCATTTGGAAGTCGTGCTCCAGCAGATTGTACCCCAAGGTGAGTAAAAGCTAGTGAACAGAGGTTGGGGCCTGATCAGATATGGGGGAAGCAGTGAGGGGCTATCTGACCTGAGGACCAGCTTTCTCTTCCCTCAAGCGTCTATACTTGAAACTTTCTTGTCACACTCACCTCATGGAAATGGGGATGAGACAGGAGCAGGGGTGGAGTCTGGATGAGTGAGCTACTTGCACTTGAACACCCTACAAGAGCCCAGCAGAGGCTTCTAGAAGAAGTCCCTGGAAGAGGCCAGCATCCAACTCCTTGGGACTAGTCCCAATTCCTGGCAGTATCTGAATTTTTCCAGAGCCAGGACTCCTTTAGTTCTCAGCCAGGAGAACACACACACACACACCCCTTAGCCTCTGAGCAGGAAGCAGAGAAAATTGTATGACAGAGGGGAGGAATGAAAGGTAGTGGAGAGTACACCAGGGACAGATGGCTGACCCTGTTTTTAGAGCAGAGTTTCATGAATGGGTGTGTGGGGGAGAGTGAGATAGGAAATCTGCCTCGAGTTCATATCACGGCCACTAATGCCGAATATGTGCACAGTGCCTTAGAGCAGTAGTTCCCAAAGGCTTCCCTGGACCGGCAGCATCAGCATCACCAGGGAACTCATTAGAAATGCTCATTCTTGAGCTTCACCCCAGACCTACTGCATCAGAAACCCTAGGGGTGGGAAACAGAATGTGTGTTTTAACAAGCCTTTCAGGAGATTCCAATGCACATAAAGTCTGATAATCACTGCTTTACGGCTTTCTAAGCACTCCTTACATCCCTAAACTCATTTAATCCTCACAACAGCATCAAAGGAATTGGCAAATAGACCATAATCATAATCCTAATTGAATATTACATGCCAGACACTATGCTAGTTAATTTTTATACATCTCAATTAATTCTCTCTGATAAGTGTGATTCTACATGTACTTGAAGGAGAAGTCACTCTGGTCCCCAGACTGAGTCAGACTGTCACAGGTGTCAACTCATACCATCCTTTTATCCTGCAGGTCTGTTCTGGAAGGATGACATCACTCAGGATGTGAGGACAACAAAAATGGAGCACATCAACCCCCAAGATCCATGTCTGAGGGATGAGAAGGCAGTTTTTCCCACTAAAACCACTGGGGTAAGGTATGCGAGGCCTGTGGTCAGTCCATGCTGTCTGGCAGACAGAGCAGGGAAGGAACGGGTATTAAAACTGCAGGCAGGAGCTACTGGGAGCAATATGAGAAGAATAACTCAGAGGTCCTGTCTGGTGTCAGCAAGAAACAATTCCGAGACCCATTAGTGATTCTGCAAAGGGAAGGGAGGTGAGTTTTAGCAAGCCTAGGCCCTGTTTGCCATCCTTGTCTCTTCTAGGGGCAAGAAGAGGACAAACTCCGACTCCTGTTCCCCAAGGTGAGACTCCGCGTCCTCTCAAGAATTGTGGATCCCTCACTTTGTATCCCAACACTTCCCTCTGGGGTCCTCCCACCCTTTTTCTGCCTCCTTCTTGACTCCTGGCTTCCCTCTTCACAGAGCCCAGTGGCCAAGGTGAGCAGGGATCAGTGCTCTACCTCCAGAGTGGTTGCCAAGGCCCTGAAGCGAGAAGTGGGCAACACCGTCAAGGTGAGGGGCTCATTTTTCCTAGGGAGGTTGGAATCACCAGGGATCTGTTTAAATGAAGGAGGCAGGGAAGAAGGGAGTGGGTGTTGGGGTAATAACGGGTAAGCTGAAAAAAAGATCTTTCCTTTTCCAATCAAAGAGCACCCCACTTTCCTGTATCTCTCATAGACTACCTATGGATACTTGTGTGAGAGGTCCTGGGAGCCTCTATGGAAGAAATGATCTACACGATCATGCGTGGACATTGAGTTTAAAATAGGCATTGAAAGGTGCAGAGTTTTCAAAATTAGATAAAATGTCCTCCTTTTCACCATATACTCCCTTGTCTATAGCAGGTGATGGCAAGGCTCTCTTGGATAAATGGAAGATGTAGCCCAGAGGTCCTCATGTTCAGCCTCCCCCTTGCTCTACTCTGTGGCCTGGGCAAGGCTCTGAGGCATCTCCTCGGGATCTTTGAACTCCAGAATACTGTTCGGAGCCCACCTAGTATCCCCACCTATCTTTGTAGATGAGAAATTGAGGCCCAGGCTGGTGATGGGACTTACTCAAGGCTGCATAGTGGGTTTGTGGCAGAGCCAAGACTGGACCCAGGTCTCCTGATTTCCAGCTCTTTCTCCTGCACAGCCCATGCCCTTCCTCTCAAGGACTACAGTGGGGATTGGGCTGTTGCAAATATCAGACTCCTCCACATTGAAAAAAAGTCCTTTTTGTGTGTGTTTGGGGGGTGGGATTAAGACCTAAATTATAAGAAGGTGGCAGCCAGAGGAAGATATAAAGGAGGGCATCCTAGGCAGAGAGCATTGCAACAAATGCCCTGAGACAAGAGTACCACGGCATATTAGAGGAACAGATGGAAAAGTCAGTGGCAGAAAACGGGATTGGAGAAGTAGCCCAGGACTGACCATACAGGGGCTCACAGGTTATGTCAAATGGTTTGAATTTTATTCTAAGTGCAGTGGGTAGTTAACTGGGAAATTTTAAGGAAGGGAATGTCACAATGTGATATATGATTTTTAAAAGGCCACCCTAGTGATGTTGGGAAATGAATTGTGAGAAGAACAGAGTGAAAACTGAGAGGTCTGTAAGGAGATGACCCTCCTGGTGCAGGGAGACCAAGGTGGCTTGGACTTGGGTGGTGGCAGGAAGCTGAGCACCCCCAGCTGGCTGCACTCCCCACCTAAGGGCAGCCTGCGCCTCAGGGGGTCCTGGCTCCTCATGCTCTCCAAGGAAACGGGTTCCCATTCCCATAATCTGGCAGCCCAGTTTCCTAAGCCTGGATTGGTTGCTGGGCAACGTTATCAGAGCTAAGTGACAGAGACCTACCTGTGGGGGACTGGTTGCCCTAGCACTGTGGGAATGCAAACAAGGAGCAGCCTTCCTTCTCCAGCCTCAAGCCTAAGGGAAAATCATGGAGGGAGGGGCACCGACACGCGGAAGCCAGGGGTCAGGCTCTCAACCAATGGGCTGAGTTGCTGTGTTGAAGGCTTACTCAAATCAGGCTGTTAGTGAAGTATTTGGGGAAGGACTGCAGGGAAGGGAGGGGCCACCTCCCCAAATCCAGGCTCTAAATGCCTTTTCTTCTCATTTTAGGGCTTCTTTGGGCCATTTCCCACTGTGGGCCGCAACCTTGTTGCTGATTGAGACTCATTGGAACCCTCCCTGCCCCAGTGCCCTCCCCACTCCCCTTCAGAGCGGTGGTCCTTGGATGACAGCAAATCTGAATCATTAAGGCAGACTTTCATGCAGATACTTTCTGTGAGCTTGTCTTGAGGTGAGATGGGTGGGCTTTGAGCTTGGCCAGAGCCTGCAAGGGAGAGAGGTGGGACCAGAGCAGGGGGTGGGGACGAGGAGAGCACAGCTCTCTGGTGGAAGGCCAGTTTCTGTCTTGTTTTCCTTCCACCGACCATTTCTGAAGCGGGGAAAGTGAGGGTGGGACCACAGCTGGAGTGGCAGCTTTCCCCGCTCACGCCGCAGCCACATTGTGTGGTGCAGTGGCCCATCCTTCACTTTATGGGACAGTGGACTCCATATTTGCCTGCAGTCATTGCTTTCATTCCCCAAGCCAGACAGGCCTGGCCCTGCTATTTTATGAGGGTCTCCACCTCTGGCATTATAGACCCTGCCAGGTTCTCCCACCCATCCTGCCCCCAAGAACAAACAGAGCAGTGCTGAGATCAAAGGGCACACATATTTAACATTTTGATGGTTCTTTCTGGTTTATTCCTGCTAGCTTAAAATCTTAAAAGGGTGTGGGTAATCTAACCACCCATACTCAGAACAAACAGACAAACACCAGAATGCCCTATTTTCAGAGCTCTATATTTCTCAAAGCATTTTCACGCTCATTAGATACTCATGGGTGTTAGCAAATGGGCAGGGATTGAGGTTGGGTTTCTCTACGGAATTGGAATTTGCCATACCACATCTTACCCATTTAAGCAACCCAGAGAATTTAAGTAACTAATTCTTGATAACACAGATTCTCAGACATGCTGCTGTGCTTCCCCTCTCCCCTTTACTTGTGTTCGAGGATGTAGCTAAAACCAACACCAGACCAGTCATGTTCATTTGCATCTAGTTCTCATCAAATCGATTAGCCCCTGCCACATTTCCCTCTTACACCTTTCTTTCTTATTTACTCTCAAACATCTATGTAATCCTGTGCTTTTCTGTGCCTGGCCTCTATGAATCTATTTGGTTCCTTCCCTCAAAGACCTTTAAGAGTAGTCAGGGAAGTAAGCCATACGTCCCATAGCTTCATCCAGAGGTTCACAGGGAGTGAATGGAACGGCTGCCAGCACCCCCATCTCCTGGCCTGTATCTCCTTTTGCCCACAGCTGCAGTTGGACAGTTCTTGCACCCATTGACACCTTCCCACCTCAAGCCCTGGGATTCTCTGCTTCTCATCCTACAGGTTTTCTGGAATGCCAGGGTCTTGCCTACCTGTGCTCCAAACAGCCCTGAAGTGCCTGGGATTTAACACCCCCAGAGGCAACTCTCAACCACTTGAGAAACGAGTTTAGTGCTAAAATATCCCAGATTCCTCTAGCCCTTAGTGGACAATTCTGAAGAATGTTCAGTATGATCCTTCAGAGGAATTCTGAGGAGTGTTCAATATGGATTCCCCAGTAAGATTCACAGTTGCCCACAGTGGTGACCTATTCAACAAAACACTTAATATTATTGACTTTTCTTTGACTTTTCTTTCTTCTTTGGCTATTTTCCCTGTCCCTCATTTGTGATTTCTGGGATCATCTCTCATGCAAACTACCCACCCCCAAGTTCTTGTCTAAGTCTGCCCTTGGGTCAACCCAGACTAAGCCTACCATGTGCTAGACACTCTTCCAGGCCCTGGCAATACAGTTGTGAGCAAGACAAAGTGTCCGCTGCCATGGAGTTGGTTGTAAGTCATCTACTAACCACCTGTTTATGAAGGAAAGTCCAAGCAATTTATCTGGCCCACAAGGCATTCAAGTTCTTGTCTCACCCACCTCTTCAGAGCTGTGGTGCTTCCCCCACTCTGCCACCCTATTTCCTGCAGCAATTGTCCCTATTTGCATTTCCCCAAACATGCCCAGCTGCCTTATGCTCCTGGGCCTTTGTCTAGGCCGTTCTCTTTCCATGTAAGTGCCCCATTCTCAACACACCTTGTCAATCTTATCCTAAAAATCTAAATTCTCCTCTTTAGTCCATCCCCTGACCTCCTAACATCTCTCCACCTCCAGAGCACAGGTGCATGGATTGGAAAGATGAAACCTATAAGGGACATTAAATAATCTGATAATTCTGGGACAGAGTGAGTGAGTAGGAAAGACGGGAGTTTTTAGAAAGGAAAAGTAGGTTTAGTTCTTATTGAAGAGGACCAGGTTATAAGATTTGGATCTTATTTGATGAACAATGAGGACACACTGAATGTTTTTGAGCAAGAAAATGATACATTGAAAGCAATGCTTAAGAAGAATAGCCTCACTTTTCTGTATAAGGATGGAGTTAGGGAGTTGGGAGAAGGTGGAAACATTTTAGAAAGACTGTAGCAACAGTGGGAGTGCACCACACAAGGGCCCGAACCTGAGTGAAAGAGGACAGATAGGAGAGATATTTTGAAGGATGACTTAATAAGCCTTGGCAACTGTTATGTATTGAATTCTGTCCCCCTCTAATCCATATGTTGAAGATCTAATCCCCTGTACCTCAGAATGTGACCTTATTTGGAAATAGAGTTGTTGCAGATGTAATTAGTTAAGATGAGGTCATTAGGGTGGACTCTAATCCCATGTGACTAGTGTCCTTATAAGAAGGGGAAATCTGAAGACAGACAGGCACAGAGGGAAGGTGATGTGAAGAAACGGAGACCAAGGCCACAGACAAGGCAAGGAAAGAGACCTGGAACTGATTCTCCCCCATAGCCCTCAGCAGGAACCAACCATGCCAACATCTCGATTTCAGGTTGCCAGCCTCCAGAACTGTGAGACCATAAAATTCTGTTGTTTAAGTCACTCAGTCTGGGGTACTTTGTTACGGCAGCCTTAGCACACCAGTACAGATGACTGGGTTTTGTCAGAGAGAGGAGCCATACCTGAATTTAGAGATGTTCTGGCTTGGGAAATAGTGGTGCCACTCACAGAATAGGGACATATGGAGGACTGGTTGGGAGAAAGAAAATAGATTTACTCTTAAGGGTTAAAGCTGGGAGCTTATTCAAAAACATCACAACAGCGATTTTCTCCTATCTCTCTCCTACTTCATTACTTTTCCCATGAATGCCTGATTATTTTCAACATGTAAGTATGCCACAATATCTGAATTTTCTCAATTTCTGCTTCTGGTAATGTTACACTAGATCATTCGTACTCCTCAAGCCCCTGCTGAAGACAATTTATCTTAGACAGATTCCTCCCAAAATCAAAGACTGAAATAAGGGCTTGCATGCAGGTTGTTCAGTTTGAGAGAATATCACAAGAGGAAGAATGGGAGAATGGGAAGAGTGGAGTGGGAGGGCTTGGAAAGCTAATTCAAAGGTGCTGCAGACAGCAGGGGATCAGTGCTTCTTAAGCATCATGTATAATGCACCTCAGAATTGTCCTTCTAAAGAAAACTATTTATATGCTAGTTCCCCTCCCCAACTGGATCAAGAGTTACACTATGGGATGTTAATTTCCTTATACATCCAGGATTTTCACGCACAGGAATGACTGAGCAGATTCCCATGGGTGTCTAATGCTGTGGTAGCACAGAAGAAAGACCCAAACCAAAAACAAGAGACATGCAGTGCAGGTGAGGCAAGTGATGTCAGATTTGCCTGCATGCAGCTGGTGGCTGCAGCAATGGCTAGAGTTGAATGGTAGCCCAGGAAAATTCAAGATGGAGCCATAGGTGGTGTCTGATATACCTTAAAAAGTGGATGAAAAATTACTTCCAAATCTTCTGAAAAGCATCGAGGAGCAAGCAAGAGCATGAGGAGTAACTGGCATAGGTCAAGGTCTAGGAGAGGAACAGAATTCAGAGATGATAAACCCAATGTTCAAAGTTGCACTGGACTGGGGAAATTTTCCATTCTTAAGCAGAAGAAAGACTGATTTTGACAGCCTGTGGAGCTAGACAGTAGATGTCACAGTCCAGGACCTGTGAAAGGAAGAGTTCTAGTAAACTTTTCCCTGTTTTGGCCTGGGGCCAACAAACAAATTCCAGGAATAAGAATAAAATGGAAGTAAATCAACCCTTGCTCAGACTGCAGCATGGCCTTGAAATTGGATTAAGGTTATAGCTGATTGCTAGTGCTTTTAGTCACCTGCAGATGTAAATGAGAATTCTCTAGGACCCTAAATTGTTTCTACAAATAATTTTTTAAATAGTATGCTCTGCATAATAGGTAACAGAATCAGACCCACAGTGATTTCAATGGTTCCAGTACAAAACAACTGTGCTTACTACATTTGAGCATATAAAATGCAAACTATAATTTTTGACAGGAAACTAGAAACCACAGAAAGTAATATAGAAGATTTTTTAAAGAACGAAATATGTCAAAATACATGAGGCAACTTAAAGGAAAAATAGAAAAATTTACTTTTATGGTTGAATATTTCAATGCCTCTCTTTCAGTAATTAATAGATGAAGCAGGCAGAAAATCAGTAAGTCTATAGATGACCTGAACAGAACTGTCAATCAACTTGATTTAATTGATATTTAAATACACCATCCAGCTGGGCATGGTGGCTCATGCCTGTAATCCCAGCACTTTGGGAGGCAGAAGCAGGAGGAATGCTTGAGGCCAGGAGTTCAAGACCTACCTAGGCAACATAGCAAGATCCCCATCTCTACAAAACAATAGAATTACAGGTGGCACATGCCTGTAGTCATAGCTACTCCGGAGGCTAAGGCAGGAGGATCACTTGATTCCAGGAGTTTGAGATTACGGTGAGGTATAGCCACTGCACTTTAGCCTGGGTGACAGAAGGAGACCCTTTCTCTAAAAAATAGATAAATAAAATATACCATCCAACAACAGCAAAATACACATTCTTCTCAAACTCACATGGAACTTTTGCCAAAATAGATCACCATAAAACACATCTTTACGAATTTAAAAGAATAGAAATCATACAAAGTATATTCTCAGATCACAATGGAGTTAAACTAG